GTTTTTTGATATGATTTACCCTACCTTGCCTTCCTTTCCTCTCTCATCATCCATAACTTTGTATCCTCCTGATTATTCATTTTTTTTTTCCATTTGTCCATGATATTGCTTTTTTCTGTTTCTGTTTTTTTTTTTTTCTCAGAAGTCTTGCTGATCAGGTTGACGTGTTCAATCTATTTTTTCTCTTATATTATTATCACATTGCCATTTCTACTTTGTTTTACGTCTTTTGTGTATTATCGTGCGTTTTCGGCTGGGATTTTTGTTATGCATGCGTTTGGGTGTAGATTCCGGTGGTTGAAATCGCCTGCCAAAAAAAGGGGTGTTTGGTTGGCATTCCATTATTGTCAGGTTCGCCGTCGTCGCTTATATCGAGCCTTGATAGCCTTTCACCGCTTATCAAGGAATGTTCCAGGGTGGTTGGTTCACTGTAGCCCATCCCCTCGCCCCCTTTTTTGATGCCTGCCAAACTGGGCCCTGGTAGCCAGCTTCAAGCAATCCACCCCTGAAGGTGTCGCGCGCCGATCCCACCCCACCTTGTCAGTTTTGGTCGCGATTTTGGTGCTGATATTCTCCCTGTCCCGTGGCCAATATCAAGGGGAGTGACCGTTGGGTGATCAATTCACACAACCAAGCCACATTCAGCCTCCGCTGCCGTTTTTCCTGTAAGCTCCCTCACTTACTGCAAGAGAAGGTGCGTTGATACTGTAATCCCGCGTTTCTCGCTACACAGCTTCCACCCCGCCTCTCCGTTGTTTTTGCGCCGCGGTTCCGTCGAGCCCCTCGGGCCCAAATAGCGCAGCTTAACTTGAGCTAGGCTTGCTACCTAGGCTCCATTCGAAGCTCAAATGGACGGGCTTGTTCGCGACAACGCCGTCCTTACCGCTTCTCCTGCCGCCGTACCTCCCGCCGCATCTTCCGCCGCAATCGCCGGTCTGTCCCAGCCCGTGGAAAGCGCGCTCTACCTCTGGGGATTCAATCTCCGCGGGCAGACCAGCCACCGCGCGGGGCTGGCGGGATCCGCGCACGTGGCGCGCCAGCGCGCCGCGCTGCGGATCGCGCGGGAGAAGTTCCGCGCGCGGGACGGGCGGCCCGTGGCGCTTGTTAGCGTGGCGTGCGGATTGGAACACAGCGCGGCGGTGGGGATCGATGGAGCCTGTTCCGTGGGGCTCGAATGAGTACGACAGCTGGGGGACGGTACCGAGCAGAGCAGCAGGTGTGTTGACTTTATTGACTCCATTGATTCCATTGACTCCGTTGACTCCGCTGACTCCATTGACTCCGTTGACTCCGCTCACTCTTTTACTCCGTTGACTCCGTTGACTCACTCTATTGACTCCGTTGACTTAGTTGATGCCGTTTACATTCTTTTTTATTCCCAGGAATGCGCACTGGAATGCAAGCAGATCTCCGTTTTCTCCTTTTTCTTTGGAAAACCACCCCCATTTTCCACGGAGCCCATAAAGGTGGCAGCTTTGGAGGAGGCATGGGAGGAGGTGACTGCTGTGGCATTGTGGCGCGCAGTGCACTGCTGCTATCACACCCCCGCTCCTCTGTTTCTCTTTTTCACTCCTCTCCTTCCTCTCTCTCCCCTTGATCCACCATTTCCACACAGGGAGCCCAAGAGTGGCAGCTCTAGAGGAGGCGGGGAGGAGGTGAGGTGTGTGGCATGTGGCGCGCAGTGCACTGCTGCCATTGCCCCCTGCCTCTCGGCCTCCACCCCCTCTATTCCCTTGTTTTGCCCTCCTTCCCTTCCCTTCTCCACACAGGGAGCCCATAAGGGTAGCAGCTTTGGAGGAGGCGGGGGAGGAGGTGACTGGCTGGCGTGTGGCGCACAGTGCACTGCTGCCATCACCAGGCGGAGGGGGGGGAGGGGGGGGAGGGAAGAGGGGGCAGCGCGGAGCATGGGGATGGTGGGGAAGAGGAGGGGGGGAGGGCGCCTGTGGGTATGGGGCCAGAACAGTGGGTGCAAATCGGTGCGGGTAAATGGAAAGTTCTGCTGCTGGTATAGACGGTACTACCAGGTGATGAAGTAGAGAGACAATATTCAGTGCATTGTTCTTCCACCTACTCAGTCTTAACGTGGACCTGAATGCTTATCACAAAGGTGTGATGGCCTTATCATACTGGCTTTTGCTCTTCTCATCGGCACCCACTTGCAGTTCCTCGCTTTCCGTGTTCTCTCTTTTCATCTCCTTATATCCTCGCTCTCCGTGTTCTTCATTTTTATCCTCGCTCTGCAGAATTCCAACCTACCTCGTCTCATGCGAGGAGCCTTCCCTCCCAAAACTGTGAGCCCTGCGCTTCTCTCTGGTTTCATTATAGTCCCTATAGCCAGCCATAGTGTACGGCACTCGTTCATCCATTCGGTTTGTGTTTTTCTCATTCCCTCGCCCCGCTTGTCTTGTTAAAAAAAAAAAAAAAAAAAAAAAAAAATGCACGCATTCTCAACACCTCTCTTCCTTCTTTACCTGCCCTGCCCCCTGACCATCGTCCAGGTGGTCATTCAGGGTCCTGTGGCGACTCACACGCTGCTGCTGTGTCCAACACTGGCTTGTGCAGACATGGGGTGAGACGGATGGGCGCAAGCAGTGTGCATGGGGTAATGCAAGAATGGAGTCATATGGATGGGTATGCAAGCAAGCATGATTCACACGCCGTTGCTCCTGCTCCTGACAACTCAGCACTCCCCCTATCCCATGCAACACTGTTTTCAGCACTCAATTCTTCACTCATATCAGTGCACCAACCCTTTCTCACCCTTTCACCACCTCCGCCCCCTCGCCAATGTCATCCCACCCCCCTGTACACCCCCCCACCTCCCTGCTTCTCTCCCCCACCGTCTTCCTTCACCCCACCCACCCACAATACCCAGGCAGGCTAACGAGCATGGGCAGCTGGCATTGGCAGGGCGTACGACGGGTACAAAAGCCGCACCTGGTGACCTCCTTCCACACTTTCCTTCTCCTCAACCCCAAACCTTCTCCCCTCTACACCCCAAACCCCCCTCTCACCCTTCCCCCTCTTCTATCACCCCCACCACACACCCAGGGTACAACGAGCATGGCAGCTGAGCATCGGCAGGGCGTGTGACGGGCTACAAGAACCGCACCTTGTGACCTCCTTCCAGCGCTTCCTAGACGATTGGATGCCTGCATTCCTCCTCAACCCCAAACCTTCCCCCTCTTCTAAACCCCCACCAAACCTCCAGGCTACAACGAGCATGGGCAGTTGGGGATTGGGGGCGTGCGATGGGCACAAGCCGCACCTGTGACCTCCTTCCAGCCGCTTCTTAGACGACCCACCTCTGACTTGTCCTGATGGCATTCACATTGTGGCGGTGGCGTGTGGGGGGTTTCACACCGCTGTGCTGTTGACACCAGAGGGGAGATGTGTGCCTGTGTATGCGCGCACACAGTAACACTCACACCCACTCACACAGAAGCCCCACCTGGTGACCTCCTTCCAGCGATCTTGGACGACCCGCCTCTCACCTGCCCGGATGGCATTCGCATCGTGCAGTGGCTTGTGGGCGACCTGGTCGGTTGGGCGACCTGGTTCGGTTGCGCGACCTGGTCCGGTTGCGCGACCTGGTCCGGTTGCGCGACCTGGTCCGGTTGCGCGACCTGGTCCGGTTGCGCGACCTGGTGCGCGACCTGGTTGCGCGACCTGGTCCGGTTGCACGACCTGGTCCGGTTGCGCGACCTCGTCAAGTTGAGCGACTTGCTCCAGTTGAACGACTTCGTCCATTTGGGCGACCAGCTCAAATTGGGCGACCTGGTCCGGTTGGGCGACCTGGTCCAGTTGGGCCTCTTCAATCCCCTTTTTCCCGTGTTTTTGTGCACATGCAGGTACACGTGGGGAGGAGGTTTAATGGGGCAGCTGGGGCACCGAACACTGCAGGCTCGGAACGGCACGTGTGAGGTGGTGCCGAGACGGGTGGTGGCGCTAGAAGGGGTTTCAGTGACGCATGTTGCATGTGGCCGCACGCACACATACGCTCTCACCCACAGGTAAGTGCACAACACATTGTTGATCGTGTTTCGATCTTGCTGTAGACTATGAATACAAGAACGAGTACAAAAGAACTGGCTCTGTGCCTTACCACATCTGCTCCAATACCTCTGCTCCCATCCCCACCCCCTCCCCCGAACTGCCACCCCGCTCCCACGCCCAGAGGCGCTCTCTACATCTGGGGAGCTGCCAGGGACGGCCAGCTAGGCACAGGCCCCACCTCCCCCTTTACCTGAACACAGTTCCTCCCATTCCCGGGCCCTCCCCTCTGCGCACCCCCACCCCCTTCCCCACTACAGGGGTGCTCTCTACATCTGGGGCGCTGGCAGGGACGGCCAGCTAGGCACAGGCCCCACCTCTGCCTCTTCTGCCCCCACCCCCTCCTCCCACTCCTCCCCCTCTGCCTGCACGTCCTTCCAGCATCTACACACCGGTTTCACCACCATCACCACCCCTGCTCCCACCCCGCTTCCCCACTACAGAGGCGCTCTCTACATCTGGGGTGCGGGACGGGACGGGCAGCTAGGCACAGACCCCACCTCCGCCTCCTCCTGAGACTGCTTGCTGCTCTTCACTTCTGTCCACTTCCCCCACCCGCCTCCTCCCCTTCCCCACTACAGGGTGCTCTCTACATCTGGGGAGCGGGAAGGGACGGGCAGCTAGGAACAGGCCCCACCTCCGCCTCCTCTGCTCCCACCTCCTCCTCCTCTGCCTCATCGTGTCCCTCCTTTCAACACCTACACACCGGGTTCAGCGCCTCTACCGCCGCCAGCAGCACCAGCAGATTCGGAGGGCCGTTTGGAGGGGGTTTGGAGCAGGGGCGAGTGGGGGGGAGGGTGCTCGTCACTGGACTTCGTGAGGGGGCTGGTGCAGCGGCAGCCGCTGCTGCTCATGCCGAAAGGCGTGCGGATGGTGACATGCGGGCAGGTGAGAGCGTGGTGCAGGGCCGTTTGGAAGGGGGTTTGGAGGAGGAGTGAGTGGGGAGGATGCTCGTCGCTGGATTTTGTAAGAGGCCTGGTGCAGCGGCAGCCGCTGCTGCTCATGCCCAAGGGCGTGCGGATGGTGACCTGTGGGCAGGTGAGGGAGAGTGTTTGCATAACCATAGCAGACGATCAGGTCCGGGGGTGAGGCAGCAACGGCTATGGGCAGGTGTATGCTTACTGACTCTCTTCGTGTCCCTCTTTTGAGTCGACTCAAAAGTCACCTGGCTGCAACGGCTGTGGGCAGGAATATGCTTGCTGACTCTCTTCGTGTCCCTCTTGCGTCCCTCGTGCCCCTGTTCTCCCCCCCTCCCTTCACTTCACCTGTTGCTTGCTGTGACCTCAGGACCACACGCTAGCGGCGATGGCAGACGAGCAGATACTTGGGTGGGGGTACAACAGCTGCGGGCAGGAATAGGCTTAGTGCCCGTGTGCTCCCCCCACCCTCTCCCCCGTGCGTGCTGTGATACCAGGACCATACTCTAGTGGCGATGGCAGGCGATCAAATACTTGGGTGGGGGTACAACAGCTGTGGGCAGGCAGCAATGCAGACTGTGCTTAGTGCTTGTTCCTTGTGCTCTCTTGTGCTCCTCTGTGCCTGCTGTGACCTCAGGGCCACACGCTAGTGGCGATGGCAGACGATCAAATACTTGGGTGGGGGTACAACAGCTGTGGGCAGGCAGCAACGCAGACTGTGCTTAGTGCTTGTTCCTTGTGCTCTCTTGTGCTCCTCTGTGCCTGCTGTGACCTCAGGGCCGCACACTTGTAGCGATGGCAGACGATCGGATACTTGGGTGGGGGTACAACAGCTGTGGGCAGGCGGCAACAGGCAGGGAGTCGTACGCATGGATGCCCATGCACGTGGACTGGGTGTGGGCAAGGTGCACGCACTGGCAGCAGGGGGAGGCCACTCCGCTGTGCTCACTGCTGCTGACTCTCTGAAGACTGAAACTCCCTTGTGCTCCCCTCTGCTTCCTCACTCCCTTCTTGCTGTGTGTTGTGACCCTCTCCCCTCAGGACCATACACTAGTGGCGATGGCAGATGATCAGATACTAGGGTGGGGGTACAACAGCTGTGGGCAGGCGGCAACAGGCAGGGAGTCGTACGCATGGATGCCCATGCACGTGGACTGGTGTGTGGGCAAGGTGCACGCACTGGCAGCAGGGGGAGGCCACTCCGCTGTGCTCACCGCTGCTGACTCTCTGAAGCTTCTTACTGAGTTTCGGTTGGCCCATTCTCTCGACTTCTCGCTTCGCCGCCCGGGCGGGTTGTCGGAGCGCGCGAAAAGTTTTGTCGGGCTGCCCGGGGGCAGGGAAGGCAGGGAAAGCAACAGTGGAGAGGAGGAGGATGAGGCGGTGATGCTGCGTCGCCAGCTGGCTCTGGCGGAACGGATTGTAGAGGAGTCGCACCGGCTCGGGGCTGACTCGCTCGTGCGCTACTGCCTGCAGTTCTGGTGGGTGTTCTAGATTCTAATGTGTGAACTTGGGTTCCGGAGCTGTGAGTGTGGCAAGGGTGCTTGCTTGCATGGGTGTGTATGCTTCCCTTATATGGTTTTCTGAGAGGTTGGTGCGTTTTCATTGATGTCCTTGGCAGGCTTCGAGTTACAAGTGACATCGACCCTGATATGGATGAAAAGGAGCAACCTGCAACAAGAGGACGTCGACAATCCATTATGGTGTAATTATTGTGCATATGCATATAGTTCGTATATATTGTAATCTCCTCATTATCAGATTTGTTGTTCAGAACCACTATCAAGAACCATTATCCATGGAGAACTAGCATTCATTACATTTTTATTCTTTGATTAATCATGGTTCATGAGGATTGTTTACTTTGAACACCTCATTGAATGTGGTGCTGAACACCTCATTGTATAGACACGAGGCATACTATGCGCGTGCATCTGGGTTGGGGGTGCATCCCACCCCACTCCAGTCCAGTCCAGCCTAGGGAACATCTCCTGGAACATGGACTGGACTACGCAGGCTCTCGAGATTACTGGAACATCTTTATTCCTGCGTAGTCACTATCAGGCTACTAGGTCTCTAAGGGCTGCGAGACTCTGACTGGCTCAAGTTCTGCAATTAGGAGATATTGCTTCAAACGTTTGAATATCACTCGTTCCGTATCGTTCAGGTTCCTTGTTTTCAAGTTCTGCTTTTCCTCCTATTCTCGTCCGAATCTCCTCTCTTCTTTCTTATCTCTTTCCGCCACTGGGCATGGCGAAAGATGAGGACGAGAGGGAGGGAAGGACGGCTCGCAGAAGCAAGAGTCGGAGTCGCAGTCGCAGCCGAAGCAGGGACCGAGACCGAGGTAGGGACGATGGCAAGGTGAAAGAGAAAGATCGAGGTCGGGATAAGAAACGAGACCGCGACAGGATAAGGGGGACAGGGATAAGGCTGGTGACAAGGATAAGTTGGGCGACAAGGAGCGACGTGATCGTCGCAGCAAACGGAGTCGCAGTCGCTCTCCAGATCGCAAGCGTCGCAGCCGCAGTCGCTCGCCAGATCGCAAGCGTCGCAGCCGCAGTCGCTCGCCAGATCCCAAGCGTTGCAGCCGCAGTCGCGACCGGGAGAAGCGACGGAAGAGCAGCAGGAGTACGAGCAGAAGCAGGAGCAGGAGTGGGGAGCGCGAAAAGGAGAAGACTCGTGCAGGCGAACGCGATGCTGCGAGGGACGGTGCAGCGGAAGAGAAGAGAGAAGCGAAGGATTCAGGAAAGGATGTGAAGGAAGATTCGCCGAAGAATGTGAAGGGAGGTGCGGCGGCGGAGGAGGGAGAGGCGGTTGGACAAGTCAACGGTAACGAGGCGAAAGAAAACGGGAAACAGAACGGCGATGCTGCCGCTACTGCTCCGAAGAAGCAGGAGGTACGGGGTACAAGCGACAAAGGTTGTTTTTATGTGCGGAATTTCTCGCTGACGCTGTAGTGGCGTTGCCTTGTTCTGGACCCGTCCGTTAGTCCGGAACTTATCCTGTCTGTCCACCGTGCTACTATATGTCAGTCCTCACTTATCCGTGCTGTCATGACATGTGATTCTCTGGTTGTGCTGTGCAGCCCTTGTCCTTGGAAGAGCTGTTAAAGAAGAGGAAAGAGGACGCCTTGCAACAGGCCAAGGTATCGTTATTCCTATGAGTACTTGGCTGCGATGCGACCCTGTTTGGAATGAAAAGAAGTTGTTTCACTGGTGCTGAAACTACCTAGTTCATCATGGTTGCATTTAATGTCACACTTGATGTTCCTCCCGTTCCTCCTCCCCTCTAACCCCCCCCCCCCCCCCCACCCTTCCCACACCCCCCCAACACCTTTCCCCCGTCCTTCCCTATTTTTCCCTTTTTGCGCCCCTTTCCCTGGGATTTCTGCTTGCCCAGCCTGTGTTTCTCACCAAGGAGCAGCGGCAGGCACTAGCGCTGCAGAAGCGCAAGGCAGAGGCAACGGCCCTTCATGTCCCTCTCCTTCCCTTCACCCTGTCCTTCCTTCCCATTTCCCTTTACTTCTGCCCCAGCCTGTGTTTCTCACCAAGGAGCAGCGGCAGGCACTAGCGCTGCAGAGGCGCCATCAGTTTCACGCTGCATGTCCATCCCCTTTCCTTCACCCCTTGCCTATACCCCTTCCGTGCCCCTACCTTTACTGCTGCCCCAGCCTGTGTTTCTCACCAAGGAGCAGCGGCAGGCTCTGGCGCTGCAGAAGCGCAAGGCAGAGGCAACGGCTCAGATGAGGAAGTAGGTTCTTTGGGGGGGGGGGGGGGGTAAGGTGGGGGGAGGTAAGGAGGGAAGGGAGAAAAAAAGGGGGAGGGGGGAGGGGAGGGGGGGGGTGGGGTGGGGTGGGGGTTGTGTGTGAGGGGAGGGTGGTGGGGAAGGGGAGTGTGGAGGGTGAGGCGGGGAGTGTGGGGAGGGTTAATCAACAGAGACAGAGAGACATTACCATCCCGAAAGGAAGCAGAACATACCATGATTGTTTCATTGCCGCAGCTTGTCTTTCAAAGTGCTGGTTTCGTTACTGACTGTCATTCTTGGTCGCAGTGGTTGCTCGTGCTCACTGCCATTTTATGCCCACCTTTCCCAAATTCCCACTGTCAATTGTTTCTCTTACATGGTCCTGTCTGGTCCTGTCTTCTGCCCTCTCATCTCCTCACCTCGTCACCTCTCCTCCTCACCTCTCCTTTCCTCTCCTCTCCTTCCCTCTCCTCTCCTCTCCTTTCCTCTCCTCTCCTCTCCTCTCCTCTCCACTCCACTCCACTCCACTCCACTCCACTCACACTCCTATCCACTCCACCACTCCACTCCTCTCCGCTCCTCTCCTCTCCACTCCTCTCCATGCCTCTCCATGCCTCTCCACGCCTCTCCTCTCCTGCAGAATCGAGAACCAGCGTCGGGCGCTCAGAGGACTCCCTCCGCTTCCCGGTATGCAATCATTCAGTCGTCTTCTCCTCTTGTAACAATCAACAAGCTTTATCGCAATTCTTACTGTTCATGCGCCTTAGAGATTGGGCGCTTGGGAAGATCCATCTTTATCCTTTTCTTGGTGTACAATTCAAAGTTGACCTCTTTCTCTTAATAAAATGACCAGACTAGCTTTAATCTCCTCAGATCAAGCGCTTGAGAGATATGGTGCTCAAAATGAGTCCTTCCTTCTGTTCCCAATTGTCAGTTCGGACAGCTCGTTTGATTTCTTTTGAACCGACGACCAGAGTAATCGTGTATTGTTGTCGCAGTTTCTTGCACATTCCTATGCGCTGTCCTCTTGTCACGTCTTTTCATCTCTGGTACTGGCCCTGTGTGCTTGGCCGTGGATGTATGTTGGCTTCAAAACGCCTTGAAAAACCGCCTCTTGCCACCTCTTTTCTCCTCTGGCGTTGGTTCTGTCCGTTCTGCTGTTGATGCAGCACAAAGGCTCTCTTGTCCACCCTTTCACCCTCTGTATTTTCGGCAGATGAGAATGAGGAGGATGGTGCTGCGGATGGCAAGGAGGGGGAGAAGGCTGCGAATGCGGATGGGGAGGAGGGGAAGAGGGACGGGGGACGAGGCAGAGAGAGTGACCGAGGAAGGGAGGAGAAGGAGAGGGATGGCGAACGGGACAGGGAGAGGGGCAGGGATAGGGACAGGGATAGGGATAGGGAAGGGGACAGGGATAGGGAGAGGGAGAGGGACCGGGATCGGGATCGGGATAGAGATAGGGACAGGGACAGGGACAGGGATAGGGAGAGGGATCGGGATTGGGATAGGGATAGGGATCGGGATAGGGACCGTGACAGAGAAAGATACAGAGAGAGGGACAGGGATAGAGACAGAGACAGGGACAGGGACAGAGATAGGGATAGGGATAGGGATAGTTACAGGGACAGAGACAGGGACAGGGACCGGGACCGAGACAGAGACAGAGATAGGGACAGGGAGAGGGAGAGGGGCAGGGAGCGAGAGTGGGATAGGGACAAGGGGAGGGATGGCGAGAAGGAGAAGGAGAAGGGGAAGGGCGAGGAGGGAGGTGCTGGGACTGGAGGAGCAGGCACGGATAGGGAGAGGGAGCTTGAGATGATTCGAGAGCAGGTAGGTCTGCTCTCTGTTTCTGTTGACCAGATAATGGATTTTTTTTGCGACCCAGCTCCTCCTTTTCCTCGTCTCTCTTCACCGTTTTTATTCCCACTCTTGCAGTTCTCGTTTTCCCTGCCCCCCCTCCCTCCCTCCCTCCCTCCCTCCCTCCCTCCCTCCCTCCCTCCCTCCCTCCCTCCCTCCCTCCCTCCCTCCCTCCCTCCCTCCCTCCGTCCCTCCCTCCATCCCTCCGTTCACTACCTGTCAACATCTCAGTCAATGCTTCATACCAACATCTCCCTCCCTAAACCTTCCGGCCCCAAACTTTCTAATCATCGTCTCTCCCGACCATCTTTCACCTTTTCCCTTTTCCCCCTCCCCTTCCCTCCCCTCCCCCTCCCTTCCCCTCCCCACCCTCCTCCCTCCCCTCCCCTCCCCTCCCCTCCCCTCCCCACCCTCCACCCTCCCTTCTCTTGGCACCACTGCCGTCAGTACCTGGGACTGCGCAAGCCCAAGAAGCGAGTGATCAAGCCCAGTGAGAAGTTCCGATTCTCCTTTGACTGGGAGAACACCGAGGATACGTCACGCGACCTCAACCCACTGTGAGTTGATACATTTATACATATGTATAGACTTCTCAAACTAAGAGTTAAAAAAATCCGATTTCTCTTTGACTGGGAGAACACTGAGGACACGTCACGCGACCTCAACCCCCTGTGAGTGTCTTTCGAAGGCCTTTGCTTTGTATATTAGCTGAATCAGTGGATTCGATTTTCCTTTGACTGGGGGAACACAGAGGACACGTCACTGGGCCCCCACTTTCCTGTGAGTTGGTTGTTTAGGTTTCTCAAATAGCACAACAAGCTCGTTTGTTTTTCAAAGGTTGTCTCTGTCCGTCTGCCCACCGTTTTGACTTGCTAACATCGTGTTCTCACCCCATCATGTATTGTTTTGTTCTTCCCTACAGCTACCAGAACCCTCACGAGGCACAGCTTCTGTTTGGACGAGGTTTCAGGGCGGGCGTGGACAGGAGGGAGCAGAAAAAGGTGAGGCGGAGGAGAGAGACGAGGGGTGAAAGGAGGTGAAGCATGAGGAAGAGAAAAGGGGTGGCGTTTTTGGGTGGGGGTGGGAGGTGAGGGACGGGGTGGGTGACGAGAGGGGGGTGGAGGGAAGGTGTAGAAGTGGGGGTTGTGAATGGACTTTTGAAATGACCCAAAAACATTACTATTCAGACTGTTGTATCAAGGCGCTGTGTCGTTAATGTTGACCCCTGTTCCTTTTGTTTTGGATTTATACGCGCCTCATTGTGTTTGTTTTGCTCCTCATCGTGCTTCGTGCTGCTGTGTGGTATGGTCTATATGACGTGGCATGTCACATTGTGCCATGGTGTGGTGTGGTGTGGCATGCTGTGGGATGGCATGGCATGGCATGGCATGGCACTGCATGGCATGGCACTGCATGGCATGGCATGATCGAATGCCGTCTGTCGCATTCTGCGGTGGTTGGATGCTGCTTGCCCATCTCCCCATGCTTGCATGCTGACTCTTTCCTGGCCCTGCCTCGCATCAGCTTGCAGCGAAGAATGAAGCAGACATGCGCGCAGCCATTCGGGTAAGAGCATACATCTTCTGCAGCTCTGTTAAAGTTGCTGTGTAGGATTTTCCAAAACATTTTTTGCTGCTTGTCCGAATCCTCTCCTTCCCTTTCCCCTTGCCCCCACTTCCCCGCTGCTTCCAATCCCAACCCCCCCCCCCGCCCCTTCAGTTCCTTGTCTGTCTTGTCGTTCCTCTTTTGAGTTGTATCAAAATCGAGTTTTGAGTTTCAAGACGTCTCAATAATCTTCCTCCTTCCGATCCTCTGTCTCCTGGTCCAACCTCTAACTCCGCGTACATTCCTATGTCCATGTCTGCTTGCGGCTCTGTATGTATGTGCGTGTGAATGCCCATGCTCATGTTCCAATGGTACATGTGTCTATCGACATGTGGATTTGCGTGTATGTGTGCGCATGTGCACGTGCATATGCATGTGTGTGCATGTGCATGTGCATGTTCGTCCATCTTCTTATCACTTTACAACTGCCCGAGCAGGAGAAGGAGGGTGTGGAGGAGCGGCCAGAGGATGCGGAGGCACAGCAGAAGAGGGAGGAGGCTGCAAATGCCTATGACACGTTTGATATGCGCGTTGACCGGCATTGGTCTGAAAAGAAGGTGAGAATGGATGTGGATGGGCAGTGGTTGGGAAAGAGAATGTGAGGGGGTTTGTGTGAGCGTGGAGGTTCGGAGGTGAGGCTGCGAATGCCTATGACACGTTTGATATGCGCGTTGACAGACACTGGTCTGAGAAGAAGGTGAGAGTGGACGGGGAGTGGTTGGTTGGAACAGTGGGGTGAGTGGATGGGCTGTGGCTGGTACAGAGGGTGAGGAAGGGGGTGTGTGCATGCAGGACGAGGGAGGAGGCTGCAAACGCGTATGATACATTTGACATGCATGTTGACCGTCACTGGTCTGAGAAGAAGGTGAGAGTGGACGGGGAGTGGTTCGAAAAGGTGAGTGAACGGGCAGTGGTTGGGAGAGTGGGGTGAGAGGATGGGCAGTGATTGGAGTGGAAGAGTGGGATGAGTGAATGGGCACAATGTGACTGGAGCTCCCTTCTCACTCTCCTGTCTGGATCAAAATTGTCCTGTACAGAACGTCTTCCTTGCTTACCTGCTTTATGTGCTCTCTCCTCTTCCCGCCCCTTCCTCTTACCTTTCCACTTGCCCTCCCCCCTTTTTCACGCTCTTTTCTCGTCCGCCTATCTCTGTCCTCATGTGGGGTTACTTTTGAGATTTCTCGGAATATCTGTTATGTGATGTCAGAACATGACTTTGCGTATGGGCCGTTTGACCAGTTGTGGCAGTCGTAATGCATTACAAGTTGTGACCTTTTGTCAAAAGGCTAACCGTTTCCAAGCTCTCACCATCCGTGACTTTTGAGTCGACTCAGAAGTCACCAGTTGTGGCAGTCGTAGTCGTTGTCAAAAGGCCAACTGCACCGTATCCTATCTCCAGTGGTTGGAGTGGAAGAGTGGGATGAGTGAATGGGCACAATGTGACTGGAGCTCCCTTCTCACTCTCCTGTATCCTATCTCTCTCACGATCTGTTCCCTCGCTCGCCTCTCCCACATCAGCTGAGCGAGATGACTGAGCGTGACTGGCGCATATTCCGAGAAGATTTCAACATTGCTTACAAGGTACAGTGGCTATGTCATCTTGGTTTCACTTTTGAGTCAATTCAATAGTCAAGATTGCGTACATACAAGGTAATGTGGCACCGTCAGTACGTGTTCTAGCAACGATTGGCTGCGTGTTTCATTGTTGGACCTACCCTCCTAAACAAAATTCAAGCAAAGTCAATCGCTGACACATGCCTCTGCCCGTTTGGCCCGTTTGGCTGCGTGACAGCAATTCCGCCCGTTTCTTCTGAACCCTCAAAGGCCCTGACTTGATTCTTTACAGTCCATCTCCGCCCGTGTTACCAGGGCTCCAAGGTACCTCGCCCCATGCGCAACTGGGCCCTGTGTCCTTGTCCCTGTGTCCCTGTCCCTGTGTCCCTGTCCCTGTGTCCCTCTCCCTCTGTCCCTGTCCCCGTGTCCCTGTCCCCGTGTCCCTGTCCCTGTGTCCCTGTCCCTCTGTCCCTGTCCCTCTGTCCCTGTCCCTCTGTCCCTGTCCCTGTGTCCCTGTCCCTGTGTCCCTGTCCCTCTGTCCCTGTCCCTCTGTCCCTGTCCCTCTGTCCCTGTCCCTCTGTCCCTGTCCCTGTGTCCCTCTCCCTGTGTCCCTGTCCCCGTGTCCCTGTCCCTTTGTCCCTGTCCCTCTGTCCCTGACCCTCTGTCCCTGTCCCTCTGTCACTGTCCCTGTGTTCCTGTCCCTGTGTCCCTATCCCTGTGTCCCTGTCCCTGTGTCCCTGTCCCTGTGTTCCTGTCCCTCTGTTCCTGTCCCTCTGTCCTTGTCCCCGTGTCCCTGTCCCTCTGTCCCTGTCCCTCTGTCCCTGTCCCTCTGTCCCTGTCCCTCTGTCCCTGTCCCTCTGTCCCTGTCCCTGCGTCCCTGTCCCTGTGTCCCTGTCCCTGTGTCCCTGTCCCTGTGTCCCTGTCCCTCTGTCCCTGTCCCCGTGTCCCTGTCCCCGTGTCCCTGTCCCCGTGTCCCTGTCCCTACGTCCCTGTCCCTGTGTCGCTGTCCCTCTGTCCCTGTCCCTCTGTCCCTGTCCCTCTGTCCCTGTCCCTCTGTCACTGTCCCTCTGTCCCTGTCCCTCTGTCCCTGTCCCTGTGTCCCTGTCCCTGTGTCCCTGTCCCTGTGTCCCTGTCCCTGTTTCCCTGTCCCCGTGTCCCTGTCCCCGTGTCCCTGTCCCTCTGTCCCTGTCCCTGTGTCCCTGTCCCTGTGTCCCTGTCCCTGTGTCCCTGTCCCTCTGTCCCTGTCCCTGTGTTCCTGTCCCTCTGTCCCTGCCCCCGTGTCCCTGTCCCTCTGTCCCTGTCCTTCTGTCCTTGTCCCTGTGTCCTTGTCCTTGTGTCCCTGTCCCTGTGTCCCTGTCCCTCTGTCCCTGTCCCTGTGTCCCTGTCCCTCTGTCCCTGTCCCTGTGTCCTTGTCCCTCTGTCCCTGTCCCTGTGTCCCTGTCCCTGTGTCCCTGTCCCTGTGTCCCTGTCCCTGTGTCCCTGTCCCCATGTCCCTGTCCCTGTGTCCCTATTCTGCTGTCCCTGTCCCTCTGTCCCTGTCCCTCTGTGCCTGTCCCTGTGTCCCTGTCCCTGTGTCCCTGTCGCTGTGTCCCTGTCGCTGTAAACCCTGTCCCTGTGTCCCTGTCCCTGTGTCCCTGTCCCTCTGTCCCTGTCCCTGTTTCCCTGTCCCCGTGTCCCTGTCCCCGTGTCCCTGTCTCTTTGTCCCTGTCCCCGTGTCCCTGTCCCTCTGTCCCTGTCCCTGTGTCCCTGTCCCTCTGTCCCTGTCCCTCTGTCCCTGTCCTTCTGTCCCTGTCCCTCTGTCCCTGTCCCTCTGTCCCTGTCCCTGTGTTCCTGTCCCTCTGTCCCTGCCCTTCTGTCCCTGTCCCTCTGTCCCTGTCCATCTGTCCCTGTCCCTGTGTCCCTGTCCCTGTGTCCCTGTCCCTCTGTCCCTGTCCCTGTGTCCCTGTCCCTGTGTCCCTGTCCCTGTGTCCCTGTCCCTCTGTCCCTGTCCCTCTGTCCCTGTCCTTGCGTCCCTGTCCCTGTGTCCCTGTCCCTCTGTCGCTGTCCCTGTGTCCTTGTCCCTCTGTCCCTGTCCCCATGTCCCTGTCCCTGTGTCCCTGTCCCGCTGTCCCTGTCCCTCCGTCCCAGTCCCTCTGTCCCTGTCCTCCCTGTCCCGATGTCCCTGTCCCTCCGTCCCAGTCCCTCTGTCCCTGTCCCTCTGTCCCTGTCCATCTGTCCCTGTCCCTGTGTCCCTCTCCCTGTGTCCCTGTCCCTCTGTCCCTGTCCCTCTGTCCCTGTCCCTCTGTCCGTGTCCCTCTGTCCTTGTCCCTCTGTCCCTGTCCCTCTGTCCCTGTCCCTGCGTCCCTGTCCCTGTGTCCCTGTCCCTCTGTCCCTGTCCCTCTGTCCCAATCCCTCTGTCCTTGTCCCCGTGTCCCTGTCCCTGTGTCCCTGTCCCTGTGTCCCTGTCCCTCTGTCCCTGTCCCTCTGTCCCTCTCCCTCTGTCCCTCTCCCTCTGTCCCTGTCCCTGTGTCCCTGTCCCTCTGTCACTGTCCCTGTGTCCCTGTCCCTCTGTCCCTGTCCCTCTGTCCCTGTCCCTCTGTCCCTATCCGTCTGTCCCTGTCCCTCTGTCCCTGTCCCTCTGTCCCTGTCCCTCTGTCCCTGTCCCTCTGTCCCTGTCCCTGTGTCCCTGTCCCTGTGTCCCTGTCCCTCTGTCCCTGTCCCTCTGTCCCTGTCCCTCTGTCCCTGTCCCTCTGTCCCTGTCCCTGTGTCCCTCTCCCTGTGTCCCTGTCCCCGTATCCCTGTCCCTTTGTCCCTGTCCCTCTGTCCCTGACCCTCTGTCCCTGTCCCTCTGTCACTGTCCCTGTGTTCCTGTCCCTGTGTCCCTGTCCCTGTGTCCCTGTCCCTGTGTCCCTGTCCCTGTGTTCCTGTCCCTCTGTTCCTGTCCCTCTGTCCTTGTCCCCGTGTCCCTGTCCCTCTGTCCCTGTCCCTCTGTCCCTGTCCCTCTGTCCCTGTCCCTCTGTCCCTGTCCCTCTGTCCCTGTCCCTGCGTCCCTGTCCCTCTGTCCCTGTCCCTGTGTCCCTGTCCCTGTGTCCCTGTCCCTCTGTCCCTGTCCCCGTGTCCCTGTCCCCGTGTCCCTGTCCCCGTGTCCCTGTCCCTACGTCCCTGTCCCTGTGTCGCTGTCCCTCTGTCCCTGTCCCTCTGTCCCTGTCCCTCTGTCCCTGTCCCTCTGTCACTGTCCCTCTGTCCCTGTCCCTTTGTCCCTGTCCCTGTGTCCCTGTCCCTGTGTCCCTGTCCCTGTGTCCCTGTCCCTGTTTCCCTGTCCCCGTGTCCCTGTCCCCGTGTCCCTGTCCCCGTGTCCCTGTCCCTCTGTCCCTGTCCCTGTGTCCCTGTCCCTCTGTCCCTGTCCCTCTGTCCCTGTCCTTCTGTCCCTGTCCCTCTGTCCCTGTCCCTCTGTCCCTGTCCCTGTGTTCCTGTCCCTCTGTCCCTGCCCCCGTGTCCCTGTCCCTCTGTCCCTGTCCTTCTGTCCTTGTCCCTGTGTCCTTGTCCTTGTGTCCCTGTCCCTGTGTCCCTGTCCCTCTGTCCCTGTCCCTCTGTCCCTGTCCCTCTGTCCCTGTCCCTCTGTCCTTGTCCCTCTGTCCCTGTCCCTGTGTCCCTGTCCCTGTGTCCCTGTCCCTCTGTCCCTGTCCCTGTGTCCCTGTCCCTGTGTCCCTGTCCCTGTGTCCCTGTCCTTGTGTCCCTGTCCCTGTGTCCCTGTCCCTCTGTCCTTGTCCCTGTGTCCCTGTCCCTGTGTCCCAGTCCCTCTGTCCCTGTCCCCGTGTCCCTGTCCCTGTGTCCCTGTCCCTGTGTCCCTGTCGCCGTGTCCCTGCCCCTCTGTCCCTGTCCCTCTGTCCCTGTCCCTGTGTCCCTGTCACTCTGTCCCTGTCCCTCTGTCCCTGTCCCTCTGTCCCTGTCCCTCTGTCTCTGTCCCTGTGTCCCTGTCCCTGTGTCCCTCTCCCTGTGTCCCTGTCCCTGGTCCCTGTCCCTCTGTCCCTGTCCCTCTGTCCCTGTCCCTCTGCCCCTATCCCTGTGTACGTGTCCCTGTGTCCCTGTCCCTGTGTCCCTGTCCCCGTGTCCCTGTCCCTCTGTCCCTGCACCTCTGTCCCTGTCCCTCTGTCCCTGTCCCTCTGTCACTGTCACTGTGTCCCTGTCCCTGTGTCCTTATCCCTGTGTCCCTGTCCCTGTGTCCCTGTCCCTCTGTCCCTGTCCCTGTGCCCCTGTCCCTGTGTCCCTGTCCTTGTGTCCCTGTCCCTGTCCCTGTCCCTGTCCCTGTCCCTGTGTCCCTGTCCCTATGTCCCTGTCCCTCTGTCCCTGTCCCTTTGTCCCTGTCCCCGTGTCCCTGTCCCTGTGTCCCTGTCCGTGTCCCTGTGTCCTAGTCCCCGTGTCCCTGTCCCTCTGTCCCTGTCCCTGTGTCCCTGTCCCTGTGTCCCTGTCCCTCTGTCCCTGCCCCCCTGTCCCTGTCCCTCTGTCCCTGTCCCTCTGTCACTGTCCCTGTGTCCCTTTCCCTGTGTCCCTGTCCCTGTGTCCCTCTCCCTCTGTCCCTGTCCCCGTGTCCCTGTCCCTGTGTCCCTGTCCCTCTGTCCCTGTCTCTGTGTCCCTGTCCCTCTGTCCCTGTCCCTCTGTCCCTGTCCCTCTTTCCCTGTCCCCTTGTCCCTGTCCCTGTGTCCCTGTCCCTTTGTCCCTGTCCCCGTGTCCCTGTCCCTGTGTCCCTGTCCCTGTCCCTCTGTCCCTGTCCCTCTGTCCCTGTCCCTGTGTCCCTGTCCCTGTGTCCCTGTCCCTGTGTCCTTGTCCCTCTGTCCCTGCCCCCCTGTCCCTGTCCCTCTGTCCCTGTCCCTCTGTCACTGTCCCTGTGCCCCTGTCCCTGTGTCCCTGTCCCTGTGTCCCTGTCCCTCTGTCCCTGTCCCCGTGTCCCTGTCCCTGTGTCCCTGTCCCCCTGTCCCTGTCCCTGTGTCCCTGTCCCTCTGTCCCTGTCCCTCTGTCCCTGTCCCCTTGTCCCTGTCCCTCTGTCCCTGTCCCTGTGTCCCTGTCCCTCTGTCCCTGTCCCTCTGTCCCTGTCCCTCTGTCCCTGTCCCTCTGTCCCTGTCCCTCTGTCCCTGTCCCTCTGTCCCTGTCCCTGTGTCCCTGCCCCCGTGTCCCTGTCCCTCTGTCCCTGCCCCCCTGTCCCTGTCCCTCTGTCCCTGTCCCTCTGTCACTGTCCCTGTGTCCCTGTCCCTGTGTCCTTGTCCCTGTGTCCCTGTCCCTCTGTCCCTGTCCCTCTGTCCCTGTCCCTCTGTCCCTGTCCCCTTGTCCCTGTCCCTGTGGCCCTGTCCCTTTGTCCCTGTCCCCGTGTCCCTGTCCATGTGTCCCTTTCCCCGTCCCCGTGTCCCTGTCCCTCTGTCCCTGTCCCTCTGTCCCTGTCCCTCTGTCCCTGTCCCCGTGTCCCTGTCCCCGTGTCCCTGTCCCTGTGTCCCTGTCCCTGTGTCCCTGTCCCTGTGTCCCTGTCCCCGTGTCCCTGTCCCTCTGTCCCTGTCCCTCTGTCCCTGTCCCTCTGTCCCTGTCCCTGTGTCCCTGTCCCTGTGTCCCTGTCCCTGTGTCCCTGTCCCTGTGTCCCTGTCCCTGTGTCCCTGTCCCTGTGTCCCTGTCCCTGTGTCCCTGTCCCTGTGTCCCTGTCCCTGTGTCCCTGTCCCTGTGTCCCTGTCCCTGTGTCCCTGTCCCTCTGTCCCTGTCCCTCTGTCCCTGTCCCCTTGTCCCTGTCCCTTTGTCCCTGTCCCTGTGTCCCTGTCCCTGTGTCCCTGTCCCTCTGTCCCTGTCCCTCTGTCCCTGTCCCTCTGTCCCTGTCCCTCTGTCCCTGTCCCTGTGTCCCTGTCCCTGTGTCCCTGTCCCTGTGTCCCTGCCCCTGTGTCCCTGTCCCTCTGTCCCTGCCCCCTGTCCCTGTCCCTCTGTCCCTGTCCCTCTGTCACTGTCCCTGTGTCCCTGTCCCTGTGTCCTTGTCCCTGTGTCCCTGTCCCTCTGTCCCTGTCCCTGTGTCCCTGTCCCTCTGTCCCTGTCCCTCTGTCCCTGTCCCTCTGTCCTGTCCCTGTGTCCCTGTCCCTGTGTCCCTGTCCCCGTGTCCCTGTCCCTCTGTCCCTGTCCCTCTGTCCCTGTCCCTCTGTCCCTGTCCCCGTGTCCCTGTCCCTCTGTCCCTGTCCCCGTGTCCCTGTCCCTCTGTCCCTGTCCCTCTGTCCCTGTCCCTGTGTCCCTGTCCCTCTGTCCCTGTCCCTGTGTCCCTGTCCCTCTGTCCCTGTCCCTGTGTCCCTGTCCCTCCGTCCCTGTCCCTGTGTCCCTGTCCCTCTGTCCCTGTCCCTGTGTCCCTGTCCCTCTGTCCCTGTCCCTCTGTCCCTGTCCCTATGTCCCTTTCCCCGTGTCCCTGCTGCAGCCATCCTAGAACCTCCCACTGGGCTCCTTCCTTTCCCTTTCCTCACTCCTCAGGGCTCCAAGGTGCCTCGTCCCATGCGCAACTGGGAGGAGAGTGGGCTGTCACCCGAGCTGCCAGAGTCTTGTTCTCACGTGCTGCACACTGTCCTTACTCTCCTTTTCTTGCCCCACTGGCCTCCACTCCTCTTCTACAACTTGTCAGGGCTCCAAGGTGCCTCGTCCCATGCGCAACTGGGAGGAGAGCGGGCTGTCACCCGAGCTGCTGCGGGCCGTGAAGGAGATCGGCTACACCAAGCCATCGCCCATTCAGATGGCCGCCCTGCCCATTGGGCTGCAGCAGCGAGACGTGATTGGCATCGCTGAGACTGGTGAGTAATGCACACATGGATGCACACACTCACACTCACACACATACACACACCGAGCCTTGAAGGAGCTGCTGCGGGCCGTGAAGGAGATTGGCTACACCAAGCCATCAACCATTCAGATGGCTGCACTGCCCATCGGGCTGCAGCAGCGAGACGTGATTGGCATTGCTGAGACTGGTGAGGCAGAACAAGCAAGTTGTTCATCCGCGAAAGTCTTGAGCCATCACTTCTTTTCCTCCCACTTCCTCTGTCACACGCCCTTCTTCTCGCCATCCAGACAGAGCTAGAATAAACCTATAGCCGCATGTTCTAGTTTTGATGCACGGATGTCTCCAAGCTCCTGCCACCGAGATTGCAAGTCCAGAGCCATCACCTTGCCATCACACCCCTCTTCTCCCCACCCACCCACCCACCCACCCACCCAGGCTCTGGCAAGACATGTGCCTTCGTGCTGCCCATGCTGACGTACATCTCAAAGCTGCCGCCCATGACCGAGGCCAACGAGGCGGAGGGTCCCTACGCTGTGGTGATGGCGCCCACCAGAGAGCTGGCACAGCAGATCGAAGAGGAAACGGTCAAGTTCGCCCAGTTCATGGTGCGTTAGACGTTTCGGGCGTCTCATTGCTGTGTGCCAATGGATGAGCACAGAGGTGAGGAGCGAGGAAGGTGGAAACGCCACGAGTGATGCCGTGAAGAGCTGGCGCGTAGAGTTCTCTGACCACTCTACGCGTTTGAAGAAGTGTTTTGAGACGTCTCAAAACACTTCTTCAAACACAGACTTCTCTGACCACTCTACGCGCCAGCACTGCAGAGCATCAATCGTGGCGTCCCCACCTTCGTCCCTCCTCACCTCTGTGCTCGTCCTCTGGCACACATCAACCCACACAGAGGTTTCTTCCACTGTCACATTCCCCTGCTCCGCTTCGTCTGTGTGGCGTGGTCACGTCCATCCCCGCTCTGTCTCCTTGTCTTGTGCCTCTGAGTTGCTGGCCGTATGTTGCTGTCAGGACTCCCTCACACCCCCCATTTGAAGTGAATCTTTGAATCGTTCTGTCCCTCACATCCACGTACCTTTACCCTCCCCCGTGTTTCGTTTCCACTGTGTTCAATCTTTCTGTTCCCTTTCCTCTCTGCTGCAGAATCTCCGGGTTGTGTCGATCGTGGGAGGCCAGTCAATCGAAGAGCAAGGCTTCAAGCTGCGCCAGGTGAGGAAGTGAACACAGTCCTTGCTTCTTTCTTTCTTTCTTTCTTTCTTTCTTTCTTTCTTTTTTTCTCTTTATTTCTCTCTTCTGGGACTACTCAAGAGTCACCTCGTCCACACCTGGAAGGCTGCTGAACTGCTTGGATTGACAGTATCCCATGCAGAACCAGTGCAACCCTGCTCTTTCCTCCTCCCTCTCCCATCCCAACCCGTATCTCTCAGGGCTGTGAGATCGTGATCGCCACGCCAGGGCGACTGCTTGACTGCTTGGAGCGGCGCTATGCCGTGCTGAACCAGTGCAACTACGTGGTGTTGGATGAGGCTGACCGCATGATCGACATGGGCTTCGAGCCGCAGGTGTGCATGAGGGAGCCTACCCCTTTACATGGGCGTTGAGGGAGGTGCTGAACCAGTGCAACTATGTGGTGCTGGATGAGGCTGACCGCATGATTGACATGGGCTTCGAACCTCAGGTGTGATATGATGCGTGAGCCTCAGCTTATGTCTCGGAAATGAGCCCAGCCATTACGTGTGCTTTAAGGTGCTGAACCAACCAGTGCAACTACGTGGTGCTGGATGAGGCTGACCGCATGATTGACATGGGCTTTGAACCGCAGGAATTCATGCCCATTACCTCAGGTATGATGCATCATGCATCATGCCCATTACCTCACTGTACCCATCACAACGTGTTTTCCCCGCATGGGCCTATCGAATGCTGAGCCATTGCAATGCTCGTTTCATTTCTTTATGAATCTCAAAGGTGGCACAAACCTTTGGCCTATGCCTCACTCTTCCACCATGTAACCTACATGTTCTGAGGCGCCTAAAAAATCGTCTCAGTTCGCGCGGATTCTATATGGGGAATCTTTATGAATCTCAAAGGTGGCACAAAGCTTTGGCCTATGCCTCACGCTTCCACCATGTAGCCTACATGTTCATTCCCTCTTCCTCCCCCTCCCGACCTTTCCCCCCGTCGCTCATTTCCAGGTCACAGGAGTGCTAGAGGCCATGAACACGTCGTTCCTCAAGCCAGACAGCGAGGATGCAGAGCTGGACGCCTCCCGCATCTACCGCGTGACCTACATGTTCTCCGCCACCATGCCTCCCAGCGTCGAACGGCTGGCGCGCAAATACCTCCGCAACCCGGTCGTGGTATGTGTGCATCTCTCTGCTCCCTGCTGTTCTCTCTATGCCCCCTGCTTCCACCTCCCCTCCTCGCCTCTCTTCGCCTCTCCTCCCCTCCCTTCTTCTCACCTCTCCCGCATCTACCGGGTGACCTACATGTTCTCCACCACCATGCCTCCCAGCGTTGAGCGGCTGGCCAGGAAATACCTTCGGAACCCCGTCGTGGTGCGTGCTTCTCTCTGCTCCCCGTTGTTCTCTCTGTGCCCACTGCTTCCACCCTCTCCTCGCCTCTCCTCGCCTCTCCTCGCCTCTCCTCGCCTCTCCTCGCCTCTCCTCGCCTCTCCTCGCCTCTCCTCGCCTCTCCTCGCCTCTCCTCACCTCCCTCGCCTCCCGCATCTACCGGGTGACCTACATGTTCTCCGCCGCCTATCCTCCCAGCGTTGAGCAGCTGTTGCGGAAATGCCTCCACAACCCCGTTGTGGTACGTTCATCTTTCTGCTCCCTCTTCTCCCGCTGCTGCTCCCTGTACCCGTTCTGTGCCTTGCTTGGTATTCTCTCCTCTCCCCTCCTCTCCTCCTGTGTGTTCCTATTGAAAGGCTCTGAGGAGTTTGTTCGCATGCAATCCCGTTAGTCCGGCAATCGCCGTCCATCTGCAATCCTCTCCACCGCTTTACCCTTCCCACTCTCCACTTGCAGGTGACCTTGGAACAGCGGGCAAGGCCACAGACCTCATCACGCAGAACGTGTTCATGGTGAAGGACTCTGAGAAGATCTCCCGCCTGCAATCCCCTTCCTTGTGCATTCCCTCTCACTCTTACCCCTCCCACTCTTATCCCTCCCACACTGCTTGTACAGGTGACCATTGGTACGGCAGGCAAGGCCACAGATCTCATCACGCAGAACGTGTTCATGGTGAAGGACTCGGAAAAGATCTCCCGCCTGCAGCGCATCCTGGAGGGCGTTGGGGAGGACCGCACTGTCATTGTGTTTGTCAATACCAAGAAGACGGCTGATGGTGTTGCCAAGCAGGTGCGATTGGGGTGGTGGGGTGCGGTTGTGGGGGGTTTGGGGGTTGAGGAGGTGGTGGGGGGAGGGTGGGATTCGCGTTGGGAAGGACCGCACTGTGATTGTGTTTGTGAACACCAAGAAGACAGCTGACGGTGTTGCCAAGCAGGTGGGTTGGGTGGGGTGGCGAGGGTGTTGGGGGCAGTGTGTGGGTGTGTGTGGAATTGGGGCTTTTACTGGAGGGCGTTGGGGAGGGCCGTGCGGTATGTGTTTGTCAACACCAAAAAGTCGGCTCCGGTTTCACATGCCTGCAGACCGACATGATGGGGTTCAACATGACAAGGGCTACACTGCACGACGGAAAGATGCAGTTGTAGCGGGGTGTTTTTGAGAATTCTCAAAAACACCCTGCAGCATCAGGAAAGACGCAGTTGTAGCCGGGCGTCAGCCAGGGGAGGGGTCTTTTGCGGGTCCCAACGCATGTCACCTACAAGAGTGCTAATTCAAGTGTGTTCTTGCGTCCCTGCTTGCCCTGGCTTTCACTTGTCTGCAGATTGACAGGATGGGGTTCAACGTGACCACGCTACACGGAGGCAAGACACAGGAGCAGCGCGAGGTCAGCCTGGAGGGCTTCTGTCTGCTGATCCCAACTCTGTGTGCTGTGCTTGCTCCTGTGCTTGCCTCCTTGCTTGCTCTGCATTCCTTAGCCTGCAGATCGACAGGATGGGGTTCAACGTGACAACCCTGCACAGAGGCACGACGCAGGAGCAGCGAGGGGGAGGTCAGCCTGGAGGGCTTCTGTCTGCTGATCCCAACGCTGTGTGCTTGCTCCCTTGTTATGCCCATGCCTGGTTGCTCTGCATTCCCATGTGTGCAGATCGACAGGATGGGGTTCAACGTGACAACGCTGCACGGAGGCAAGACGCAGGAGCAGCGAGAGGTCAGCCTGGAGGGCTTCCGCACCAAGAAGTTCAACGTGCTGGTTGCAACAGACGTGGCAGGGCGTGGTATCGATATTCCGGTGAGCATGAACCTTTATTGCCAGGCAAGCCAAGTAGGTACTGAGAGGTCAGCCTGGAGGGCTTCCGCACCAAGAAGTTTAATGCGCTGGTTGCCAAAGATGTGGCTGGGCGTGGCATTCATATCCCGGTGAGCATGAACCAGAGAGAGTCTTGGGTGATGTGGTGTTGTGATGTTAACGTGCTGGTGGCCACAGATGTGGCGGGGCGTGGTATCGATATCCCGGTGAGCACTGACTGTTATTAGTATCACAACACGTTGGCGCTGGTGGAAGGATGAATCGACTGTGCAGATATCTGGGCGTGTGTTGCTGGAAGGGATTTGCTTTGGGAGGGGAATCAGGAATTTCGCTGCCCCGTGAATGAACGGGTGTGTGATTAAGCAATTGAGTGAGCAAGGGAGGGATTGACTGACCAGTGAGAGGTGGGAGTGCATGAGTTGTCATGCTGATTCATCAACTCTTCATCCCCACTTCCCCCTCCCGCCCAATCAGGACGTGGCACATGTCATCAATTTCGACATGCCAGGCAACATTGAGATGTACACTCATCGCATCGGTACGTTCCTCTTTGCCTGTCTCAGCCCCTCTCTTCCTCTTCTTCCTTTCCCTCATTCACATCTTTCGTCACACGTCACTCGCCCTTCCATTTTCTTTGATTCACTGCAACACTCTCTCCTTTCCACTTACCATTCCCTCCCCCCTCTCTTTCGTTTCCCCCCCCCCCCCCCCCCACCCACCCCACCCCACCCCCTTTACGACTCCATTTCTCCTCAACCTGCTGTGCCCTGCAGGGCGTACGGGGCGTGCGGGCAAGACAGGAGTGGCCACCACTTTCCTTACACTGCATGACTCGGACCTCTTCTACGATCTCAAGCAGGTGCGCTCCCCCCTCGGTGTCTAATCAAATATGACTCTAGTGTCAACACATACGACAGGCGTGGCCACCACCTTCCTCACGCTGCATGACTCGGACCTCTTCTACGATCTCAAGCAGGTGCGCTCCTATTCCCCCCTCTGGTATCTAATCAAATATGACTCTAGTGTCAACACGTACGACAGGCGTGGCCACCACCTTCCTCACGCTGCATGACTCGGACCTCTTCTACGACCTCAAGCAGGTGCGCTCCTATTCCCCCCTCTCCCCGCTCCGGAGCTCTCCCTTCTCCCTACTCCCGCTCTCCCTCTCACGCTGCATGACTCGGAGCGCTCCTCGCTCTCCCTGCTCCCGCTCCCCCTGTCCAGCTCCCCCCTCTCTTCGTCATCCAGCTCCCCCCTCTCTTCGTCATCCCGCTACCCCATTTCCCGCTACCCCATTTCCCGCTACCCCATTTCCCGCTACCCCATTTCCCGCTACCCCATTTCCCGCTACCCCATTTCCCGCTACCCCATTTCCCGCTACCCCATTTCCCGCTACCCCATTTCCCGCTACCCCATTTCCCGCTACCCCATTTCCCGCTACCCCATTTCCCGCTACCCCATTTCCCGCTACCCCATTTCCCGCTACCCCATTTCCCGCTACCCCATTTCCCGCTACCCCATTTCCCGCTACCCCATTTCCCGCTACCCCATTTCCCGCTACCCCATTTCCCGCTACCCCATTTCCCGCTACCCCATTTCCCGCTACCCCATTTCCCGCTACCCCATTTCCCGCTACCCCATTTCCCGCTACCCCATTTCCCGCTACCCCATTTCCCGCTACCCCATTTCCCGCTACCCCATTTCCCGCTACCCCATTTCCCGCTACCCCATTTCCCGCTACCCCATTTCCCGCTACCCCATTTCCCGCTACCCCATTTCCCGCTACCCCATTTCCCGCTACCCCATTTCCCGCTACCCCATTTCCCGCTACCCCATTTCCCGCTACCCCATTTCCCGCTACCCCATTTCCCGCTACCCCATTTCCCGCTACCCCATTTCCCGCTACCCCATTTCCCGCTACCCCATTTCCCGCTACCCCATTTCCCGCTACCCCATTTCCCGCTACCCCATTTCCCGCTACCCCATTTCCCGCTACCCCATTTCCCGCTACCCCATTTCCCGCTACCCCATTTCCCGCTACCCCATTTCCCGCTACCCCATTTCCCGCTACCCCATTTCCCGCTACCCCATTTCCCGCTACCCCATTTCCCGCTACCCCATTTCCCGCTACCCCATTTCCCGCTACCCCATTTCCCGCTACCCCATTTCCCGCTACCCCATTTCCCGCTACCCCATTTCCCGCTACCCCATTTCCCGCTACCCCATTTCCCGCTACCCCATTTCCCGCTACCCCATTTCCCGCTACCCCATTTCCCGCTACCCCATTTCCCGCTACCCCATTTCCCGCTACCCCATTTCCCGCTACCCCATTTCCCGCTACCCCATTTCCCGCTACCCCATTTCCCGCTACCCCATTTCCCGCTACCCCATTTCCCGCTACCCCATTTCCCGCTACCCCATTTCCCGCTACCCCATTTCCCGCTACCCCATTTCCCGCTACCCCATTTCCCGCTACCCCATTTCCCGCTACCCCATTTCCCGCTACCCCATTTCCCGCTACCCCATTTCCCGCTACCCCATTTCCCGCTACCCCATTTCCCGCTACCCCATTTCCCGCTACCCCATTTCCCGCTACCCCATTTCCCGCTACCCCATTTCCCGCTACCCCATTTCCCGCTACCCCATTTCCCGCTACCCCATTTCCCGCTACCCCATTTCCCGCTACCCCATTTCCCGCTACCCCATTTCCCGCTACCCCATTTCCCGCTACCCCATTTCCCGCTACCCCATTTCCCGCTACCCCATTTCCCGCTACCCCATTTCCCGCTACCCCATTTCCCGCTACCCCATTTCCCGCTACCCCATTTCCCGCTACCCCATTTCCCGCTACCCCATTTCCCGCTACCCCATTTCCCGCTACCCCATTTCCCGCTACCCCATTTCCCGCTACCCCATTTCCCGCTACCCCATTTCCCGCTACCCCATTTCCCGCTACCCCATTTCCCGCTACCCCATTTCCCGCTACCCCATTTCCCGCTACCCCATTTCCCGCTACCCCATTTCCCGCTACCCCATTTCCCGCTACCCCATTTCCCGCTACCCCATTTCCCGCTACCCCATTTCCCGCTACCCCATTTCCCGCTACCCCATTTCCCGCTACCCCATTTCCCGCTACCCCATTTCCCGCTACCCCATTTCCCGCTACCCCATTTCCCGCTACCCCATTTCCCGCTACCCCATTTCCCTCTCCCTGCCCCCCCTTACATTCCTCGCCTCCCTCACGCTGCATCTCTCGGACCTCGTCTGCGACCTCAAGAAGGCCTGCTTCCCTCTTTAACGCTCCTCTCTCTCACACTTATCTACGACCTCAATCAGGTCCTCACGTCTTTTACGCTCCTCTTTTCTCTCCCTGGCTTCCCTCCTCTTTCCTGCTGCACTCTCCTACAACCTCAAGCAGGCCTCCTCTCCTTTCCCCTCTTCCCCTCTTCCCCTCTTCCACGTTCCTCTAGAACCAACACGTCTGCTACTCCCTCTTCCCACTCCCCTCTTTCACACTCTCACACCCTCCCTCCCCTCTTCCCCCCTTCCCCACTCCTCCCTTACCCACCAATCACAGATGCTTACCCAGAGTGGCTGTGCCGTACCCCCTGAGCTTGCCCGGCATGAAGCAGCCAAATTCAAACCAGGTGAGGCTTGAACCTTACCTACCTCTCCCTTCTCCCTGCTCCCCGTTAGGGTCCCTTCCGTCACTCTGTAGTTTTTTAAGGTAATGCTTCTTAAGTGCTAGTACAATCTCTTAAACTGATGAGCGTGTCGTTTTTTCTCCAATGTGGTGTGTGTTTTGCTTCCTGTAGGTTCCATCCCTGACAGGCCCCGCCGCAACGAGCAGCTTTTCACACATTGAAGATGTCTGCATCCAGGCCTTCCGTGTGGCTACATTTTCACGAGCAGAATATGTTTTCGACATTCCTGTGACTATGCATCCACGTTCCGCTGACATTTCTTGGTTGATTGTGGAGTACATTACTCGTGAACGTTATTGAGTCTGCTTCAAACGAAAACGCGGAAGAGCTGTGGTGACTCGTTCTTTCTGGAAGGGGCCTGCTGACTCGTTCATCGTCATCAGCTTCAGCCGTGGTGCACATTTTTCCTGAAGATCCCAGCGGAATTCGGTCGACGGAGCCGAATTGCCAGGGTCGACGAGGGGGGTCGACGGAAGGGGGCCCGACGAGGCGGGCGACTGACGCGCGTGCGGGCCCGCCAGCCTGGCCCAGGGCTGGGCCGAGCGCACGACCGCCGCCCCGCAAACCCCCCCCCCCGAAAGTGAACAGCGACCCACGTTACCGGGTGGGGGCGGCGAGCTGGCGAGACCTCGCGCGAGGGAAAGTAACCCCGGCGCGAAGGCAGCCCACCCGTCCCTCCTGCCCGCGAGGTCCTAGTAACCCATCGCGGCCTGCCCGTACGGGCAGGCGAGGCCCGTGCGAAATTCGGGGGCTCCCCTCGGGACGATCGGCGATTTCGCGACCCGTTGCGGTGACGCCACGTGCCCGCCCGTCGTTTCGCATCGTTTTTTCTATGCATGCGACATTTCGTACCCGCCGAAAATCGAGCGAAGTCCTGGGTCTCTCGCACCAAGGCGCACGGTTTTCGCGACCCGCTGCGAAATCGACACGTGGTGCCGAAACGTCGCACCGCGTGCATGCGAATTTGCGTCCCCTGGCCGACCGAGGCCAGGGGACGTGACGTCGACCTGCTGGCTCGGCGGCGAGGGTGCACTTTGTCAGAATCTAGAGACAAGAATGAATGCATTGATCAAGAGTTGGGTACATAAGCTAACCCTAACATTGGGTTGTACCCCATATGGGCTACCCCACTAGCAGCCTACACAAACACAATATGCATTGTTTGACACACCCCCATAGGCAAAGTGGGGGAGAACAAGGGGTCACAAGACCAGTCAAGAGAAACAAACCAAGCTCAGGGTGGATCACAACGTCACCACACAGACTGAGCACAAGCAAAGGGCCACAAGGCCAGTCCACATGCAGAGGTATATATGCAACAAACAAAGTACAGTGATCACTACCTAGCAAGAGCAAGCATGCAGGTATATATATATAAAGATCACAGTACAGACAGAGTCTACAGCAAGTGTGGAAACGTAGGCACAAGGCCCAACAAGGTACAAAAGCGCTGATGATCACCAAACGGAAGTGCCTTGGTGAATATATCAGCAGTGTTGGCCCGAGTGGCCACGTGTGCAAGACGAAGCTGACCACGCTGCTGCAACTCTCGAGCCAGGAAGTAACGCAGAGCGATGTGCTTCGTTCTGTGCTCCAGTCTGTGCTCCTCACACAAGGCAATGGCTGCCTTGTTGTCAACATACAGAACTGGAGGAGAACGAGGCCGCTCTCCCAGGTCGGTCAGCAGGTACGTGAGCCAGCGCAGCTCCTGAGCAGCCATGGCGGTGGCGTAGATCTCAGCCTCACAACTGGAGCTGAGAACAGAAGACGAGCGAGTAGAACGCCACGAAACAGAACCAGAGCCGAGGCTGAAAGTGTAACCCTGTGACGACCGCTGTGTAGCCTGGTCGTCAACCCAAGACGCGTCTGAGTGCCCAGTGAGGACCACCTCTCGCCGTCCTCCAAGCACGAGCCCCATGCCCGATGTACTGCACAAGTAGCGCAGTACCCTCTTCGCAGCATCCCAGTGCACCTTTCGGTGCCGACCAGGAGCCACGTAGCGGGCCAAAAGGCCAAGAGGGTACGCAAGGTCAGGACGAGTGCAAGTCATCAGGTACATGAGGCAGCCTACTAGCTCTGGGTAAGGACCACTCGGCTCTACGGACTCGTCCGAAGGTGGAGCTGAGAGCGAGTGACCTGTAGCCAGAGGAGTGGACTGTGCCGAGGACCAGGTGAAGCCGAAGCGCTGAAGGACCTGCTGCACCATGTGTGACTGAGTCAGAGTGATGGTGCGACGTGCTCTGTCCCGGGTGATCTGCAAGCCAAGGTAGCTGCGCAGCTCACCCAGGTCTGTGCACGTGTGTCTCTTCTGCAGCTCCGACTTCACCAGGGCGAGAGCCTCAGTGTCAGCAGTGGCAAAGACCAAGTCGTCGACGTACATGAGGATGTAGAACGGCGGCAGCGAGGTGTCGGTGCGCAGAAACAGTGACGGGTCAGCTGTGGAGGGCGCAAACCGGAGAGCCGCAAGCGTAGTCCTCAGTGTGTCGTGCCACTCACGAGGCGCCTGACGGAGACCGTAGACTGGCCGGCGGAGGCTCCACTGGGTACCAGGAGGGAACGACCCAGTGAAGCCAGGTGGGCGGCGCAGCCAGATCTCCTCGTGCAGGCTGCCCTGCAAGAAAGCTGTGCTGAAGTCAAGCGAGTGAAGCTCGTAGTCACGCTGGGCGGCAACGTGCAGCAGTACCCGAAGAGTGGTCATCTTCGGAGTGGGGGAGAAGGTCTGGAAGAAGTCAACCCCCTCTCGCTGACTGAAGCCTCGAGCAACGTAACGTGCCTTGAAGACAGGCGGAGAACCAGGCGGTCGCTTCACCCTGAAAATCCACATGCCACTGACGATGTTCGCCCCAGGAGGGGGAACGTCGTCGACGTAGGTGCCTGTGGACTTCCAGGATGCCATCTCTGCGTCCATGGCTGCCTGCCACTGAGAGGAGTAGGGACCCGCGACCGCCTCAGCGTACGAGCGCGGGGTGGGGATGTCTAGTGCATCCGGGTCTCCCTCAGGGGCAAGCAGCATGGTCACGAGATGAGGCGCAGCGGCTGCAAGACACTCAAGGTCCTCGTGCCTGTCCTCAAGGACGTCCGTGCTAAGAGCACACTCACCCCCGACGGACGGAGGACAGACAGACTCAGACTCAGCGACAAGACTAGCAGCGTAGTCTAGACGACAGGCAGCCGCAAAGTCAACAAGCTCAGCAACCAAAGCAGTCGCAGCAGCAGACTCGAACGAGGGGTCAGTGACAACAGTGGCGAGCAGACGCGTGACAGTAGGGTGCTCAGCACGAAACCGGTCAGACTCAGGGTCCGGAACGTGAGGCAAGGAAGACGCAGGAGGAGACGGCAGAGAAACAGACTGCGGAACAGAGGAAGGACGACGGACGACAAGGTGTGCGGTGGGGACAGGCGGCGAACGCGGACGCGGAACACGACGACCGGTACGACTAGGACGAACAGGCGAGACAGGACGCGACGCAGGCTCACGACGCTCAGCAAGACTACCTGTCTGCTCAGTGTAAGGAGAAGGAGCAGGCAGCGGGGAGCCAGGCTGTAACGGAAGACCAGTAGACGACGGGAGAGTAAGAACCTGACGAAGAACAGAGTCAGGCGGCGGCAGAGACGACGGAGACGGCGGAGCGAAGAACAGTCGTGGCGGCGCAGCTGCACCAGGACCGGCAGCTCCAGCAGCTCCAGCAGCAGAACCGACACCGCCAGGCCCAGGGTCTCCAACCCCAGTGCCTCCAGCAGCAGCACCCCCAGAACCAGTACCTCCAGTCCCAGGGTCTCCAGCCTCCACGTCTCCAGCAGCAGCACCCCCAGAACCAGCACCTCCAGTCCCAGGGTCTCCAGCCTCGGTGTCTCCAGCAGCAGCACCTCCAGACGCAGCACCCTCAGCTCCAGCACCTCCAGTACGAGCACCTCCGGGACCAGCGACTCCAGCACCTCCAGTAGAAACAGTACCAGCACCACTCCTAGCTCCAGGGACGGCAGCAGAAGTACCTCCAGCAGTAGAGCCCCGGGCTCCAGCAGCGCGACCCTGACGGCGACCGTACCAGTCGTGCAGCTGCTGCAAGGTGAGAGGCACACGTGGACGAAGGCGGCTACTCCAAGGAGACCGCGCAACAGCAGACTCTGAACCCTCAGCGCCAGCACCCTCAGCAGCTCCAGCGCCACCAGCACCAGAACCTCCAGCAGCTCCAGAACCTCCAGCGCTCGCACCCTCAGCAGCCCCAGAACCACCAGCTCCAGCACCTCCAGACCCCTCACACGCAGGCTCAGCACCTCCAGGCTCTACACCCTCAAGCTCCGCACCCCCAGGCTCCGCACCCCCAGGCCCAGCACCCCCAGACTCAGCACCCCCAGAAGTAGCACCCCGAGCAGGACCACCCCCAGCAGGACCTGAGTCACCAGTGACCTCAACCGGCGCAGGGAAGGGAGGAGGGTCTACCTGAGACACACCTGAGGGAGCAGGACCTGGAGCGGGGAGAGGGTCGACCTGGGGAGCACCTGGAGCGAGGAAGAGCGGCGGGGGAGGGAGAGGGGCAGTGCGGTAGGGGAAGAGATGGTAAAAGGGAACCGACTCGTCGAACGTGACGTCCTGAGACGCAAAGACACGACGCGAGGTGGGGTGGTAAAACTGCCAACCAGGCGCGTCAGGGACAAAGCCAAGGAAGACACAGGGAATAGCGCGGGCGGAGAGCTTGTCCGCAGTGGTATCGCGGACAAAGGCACGAGCACCCCAGACCCGGAAACGCGACGCATCGCCAACCTTCCCCGTCCACAGCAGTGTGGGCGAGGTCTCCGGCAAGGAGACACGGGGCCAGAGGTTGAGCTGATGCGCGGCGTACCGGACCGCAAACGGCCACAGAAAATGAGGGGCAGCCGCATGGATCATGGAGGTACGAGCGACCTCCATGACTAAGCCAATGCGGCGCTCAGCAACCCCATTCTGCTGCGGAGAGGCCGGAAGCGTGAACGTCTGGCGGACGCCGTGCTCCGCACAGTAGGCCGCCAAGAGGTCGGAGGTGAACTCACCACCTCTGTCAGAGTGCAGACGCAGGACAGGAAAGTCCCTCTCGAACCGCTCGCGGAGCTGGAGACGAACAGCGCGGATCCAAGGGATCAAAACATCAGGGACCTGACCCTTGCTGCGCAAGGGGAAGACCGT